TACACGTCACCAGGGATGGAGAATCCAGCCCAGCCCTTGGCAGCAGCGTCTCCGAGCCTGACGCTGGCCCAGCCACCGAAGGGATTCAAATGGCCAATTCCCAGGCAACGTCATTCAGATCCTCTGGGCTGGGCTCTCTGGCCCGCAATGTATGTGGGGGGGAGAGAAGATGGTCTGATGGTCCCCGCTGGCCGTCACTTCTCCAGCTTTACGAACAGCTCAGCAGTGACGTGACAGAAACCTTCCCACCTTCACGGTGTTTCTGTCTCTGTATTCAGGGCAATTCCTGTTAAACAGAGTCTGTCTCCAGCCATGTAACAAACACTGTGGGGTTCTCCCACCACTTGGGAGGGGAGACCCCTAACCGCTGACAGTTACACTGCGGGTTATTGCATTGCTACGCCCCACTGACCCCAGCTGGGATCTGGCCCACTGACTCCAGTGGAACTATGGCCGATTGCCCCATCTGGGATCTGGCCCCATTGTCCCCAGTGGGGCTACGGCCCATTCACACCCACTCAGGGTCTGGCCCATTGACTCCTAGGGCTGTGCACATCTGGGGCCCAGTACACCCTGGTGGATGTGCACATCTGGAGCCCAGCACTCACTTTTTTTGCCATGCTTCCCTCTCCCGGGGGCTCCGCATCCCCCTCTGAGGCCACCTCCACCACCAAGGCAGGGCCAGGCCAGCCTGTGCATCTCCCCACTGATGCATTTCCCCTCCGCCCGGTGTCACGCCTCCACAGGATCTCTGCTGTGCCCTGGCTTTCCAACCGCTGCTCGACGTATCCCCGTCACTGTGCCGGCCCCCCAGGGGTGCCACACTGCCTTCAGAATGGGCCCTGGGGACCAAGCCCCTGGGCTCCAGCCCCCCTGCTTCACACCGTGAGCTCTGCCTGGTGAAACCAACTGAGAGAGACTCCTGCTCGGAGGTGTCCAGAGCCGGCGCAACCCATTAGGCGACCTAGGCGGTCGCCTAGGGCACTACAATTTGGGAGGCAGCGACCGCAGCGGTATTTCGGTGGCGGGACCTTCCGCTGCCTAGGGTGGCAGAAAAGCTGGCGGTGCTCCTGGAGGTGTCTACGCTCCCCAGGGACCCGTGCACCTCAGCCGGGATTGGAAGTGACACCCAGACGCCTTTTCCAAAGAGAGCCAGGCTTACTGGTTTCCTGGACTGAACCCAGATTGGGGACGTCCTCGGCTTGGCCTGGAGAAGCCCAGGGTTTAGGCATAGTCCATCTGGCCCCACTAGTGCAAGGAGCCAGCCAAGCTGGGCGCAGCCCAGTTCTGCTCCCTCTCCCCGTCCTTGTTTCTTTGTCTGTCCCAGGGGAGAGCCCCCACGTCTCTGCAAAGGCCGGCTCTCTCCCCAGCCCCCCAGCACATCTGGGCCATTGTCCTCCTGCTGAGCCCTCCTGCATGGCCTGTCGGGATTTCCCATCGTGAGTAGGTGGAACTCCCATTGGCTTTCCAGCTCTTCCAATGATCTGGGTTGAGTTCAGCCAGTTGTTAATGACACATTCATGCCACTCCCATATGGTGACATGTCCCAGCACCATGTGGCTTCTGCTCTATCCCAAGAGCAGCCTTTTAACCCTTTAACCTCCATGCCCAGCAATGCAAAGCACAGAGGGGAAACTGAGGCTCACCAGGAATCATAAAAACATAACTAATAGTCCCACTTTCCTCACACCCAGCTCCCAGCTTCTTCTGCAGGATACGTGGCTGAGGTCAAGTTAATGCTGCCCTTCATGAACCTCCATGTGGGGGGGGAGGGGAGTGGAAAGGCAGGGGGATAAAATTGGGTCCTGCCTTTTAAAATTGGTGTCAGGGTGTCAGGCAGGAGAGGCACTGCGAATGGTGCAAGGCAAATGCTGTACAGAGACTGGGATCCAGGTGTCCAGGACAGCAGTGCAGGGCACTCACCCCTAGGGGGCTCCCTGAGTTAGCATCCACTGGGAGGCAGAGACTGGGCGATGGGATGGGACCCAGGTATCTGGGACAGCAGTGCAGGGCACTCATCCCTAGGGGGTCCCAGAGCTCCCACTCCCTGGGAGGCAGAGACTGGGACATGAGATGGGACCCAGGCATGCAGGACAGCAGTGCAGGACACTCACCCTCAGGGGGCCCCACAGCTCCTAAGAGGAGAGACTGGGCTGGGGAACAGGACCCAGGCATCCAGGATGGCAGTGCAGGGTGCTCAGCCCTAGGGGGCGCCAAAATACAGCCAGACAATGATTGCCCAAAGAGTCTCATGTAGGATTTTATTACGTGGGGAGGAGTAAGAATCTTGGCTTTTATTCAAGCACCCATTTGGCTTGGCATCACCGTTCTGGGGGGGGGGAGAGACTCCTTCGTACTCAGAACTCCCCAAACCCAATTCTGCCCCCTTCAATGAAGAGACACAGGGCTTTCAGCGTGGGACCCTAGGCTGCTCAGACCCCTCATTGTTGTCTTGATCCAGGGGATGTACGCGGAGACCTTGGTGAACACCCTCGGGGGGGACCCGTCACTTTTGCCTAAGGAGACGATGCCCTGGACCACCTCATCGCACACCAGGGGGCCCCCGGAGTCACCCTGAGAAATCAAAGCAGGTAGAGAGTGAATACGAGCTCAGAGCACAGCATTCATCTGTCCTCTCTGAGCTGCTCTATAGCAGAGATTGCAATTCCCCACTGCCCCACCCGGCTAGATAGATAGATAGATAGATAGATAGATAGATTATGGGGATGGACAGACAGACAGATAGACAGATCCCAGTCTCAGTGTTGCCCATTGAAGGTCACCCTAACTGATCCCCTAACTCCCTTGGCCTCCTGGGGAAGCTCCCAGCCCAGCCGCCCCCCAGGGACTGGGCATTTACCGAGAACGAGGTCTTGCGTTCTTCAGGGTTCCCCACACACATCATCTTCAAGGGCTTGTAGTAGAGTCGGAGCAGCCAGTCCTTCTGGCAGGTCTCATCTGACATCACCTCCAGCTCCACCTCGTGGAGGGTGCTGGTGCTGGTGCTTGCGTAGCGGCTGGTCTTGCCCCATCCTGCCACGCTACACACGGACCCCGGCTCCACGGTGCGACTAGTCTTGGGCAGTGGGATGGTGTCCACGGCATCGGTCAGCTCCGCCGGCTCCGCCAGCTGCAATGGGGGGAGGGCAGAGGGGTCAGCACTCTGCCCGGATGGGAGCCAGGCCAGGGTGGGTGCTGGGGGCTGCGGGGGCAGGTACCTGCAGCAGCATCAGGTCGTTCTCCTGGCTCTTCTTGTTGTATTTGGGATGGGGGATCTTCTGCCGCACAGAGACTCGTTGCTGGGTCTCCTCATCCTGACGGACGTTGTGGGCTCCGAGGAGCACGGTGATGTCCCTGGAAGCCAGACAGAGATTGGGCTAGAACTGGAGGTCCTTGGAGGCAGTGCTAACCCCTGCATGGTGCAAGGGAGCGCCATACTGCAGTGGGTAGGACGGGGGGCTCAGTGGGGGTGCCGTGCTGCAGGGAGTGGGGTGGGGGCTCAGTATGGGGTTGGTCCCCTGTAACAATTGTAATCTGTCTCTTTCTCTTAATCTTAGGTCACCCATCTCGGTTGGGGTCTGTGCAGCACCTAGCACAATGGAGCTCTGATCTCAGTCAGCTCCTCAAGTTTCCTACATTCCAAGGCCAGGCGGGACCATGCGATTGTCTAGTCTGGCCCCCTGGAGAACACCGGCCGGAGACCTGCCCCCAAATGCCACCATGATGCAGATACTAAATAACGACTTAACTGATATCGAACAAATTAAATGAATTGCAATGTGTTAAATTACAAATATGAATGATCCAGTTATTAGTCTGAAGGTCTTTAGTCTTCTGTTTGCCTTTCACACAGAAAACCATTAAAGTAACGGGGGGGGAGCTGCTGCCTAGCTGGATCCCTGCACAGCAGGGGATGCTGCATGACTGGATCTGTGCACAAAAGAAGCCCTGCACAGCCCAATGGACGCTGCATGGCTGGATCTCTGCACAAGTGTGGGTGCTGCATGGCTGTATCCCTGCATAGCTGGATCCCTGCACAGCTGGGGATGCTGAACAGTTGGATTCCTGCATGGCTGGATCTCTGCACAGCTGGATGGATGCTGCACTGCTAAATTCCTGAACATCTCAGGCTGCTGCACAGCTGGATCCCTGCACAGTGGGATCTCTGCACAGTTGGGGCCCTGCACAGCTGGGTCCCGGGTTCAGGGAGACACCGGAACGCAGAGACAGGTTCTTACCCATCGTCGCAGTGGGCGGCTGTCAGCACAAAATCCTCCTGCACTAGGAACCCCCCACACGTCTTGGTTTGTCCCTTGAGATAGGCCATGTAGGGGCGGGAATGCGGCTCGGCTTCCCGGCCCCCGATGATCTCCCCTGGAACCGTGGGGAGAGATGAGGTGAGGGATTAGAGCAGGCGCAGATGGAACACTCCAGAAGAAGCAGCTTTGTCACCCCCAGTGCTGGCAACCCCACTCCCCAGCTGTGCACAGCTGCCCAGCCCTCGCCTGGCACCCATCGGGACTGAGGTCCATTGGATGCAGCCCCAGCAGCTGCTGTCCAGCTCTTCATCGATCCTGATGTTGAGAACCCCCCCACCCACCCCCTGTTCACTCCAGCGGGTCCCCAGATACCAACCACAGCGGCCCCATCCCTCAGACCCCCCATTTGCCCCCAAAGCCCCAGGGGCCCCCGATCCCAGCTGTACTCACCAGCCTGAGCCCCAGGGGGCAGGAGAAAGGCCATGGGGAGCAGGAGCAAGATCTGGAGCTGCATGTTCAGAGTCAGTGCAGGGATGGTGCATTGGCCTCAGGCCTAGGGGCTTTATAGACTCACCTAGGGGAAGATGGAAGGGAGGAAACCACAGGGTCACCCACACACTCATCTTAATCTGGGGCTCACGTGTCTCAGTTTCCAGCCACACCAACCACACGGGCTGTGGGGAGGACAGGCCATGCGTCAACCCGGCAGCTGGGTCCCAGCACAGCTTTTGAGATGGTCTCCCACAGCATTCCTGCCAGCAAGATAAAGAAGTATGGGCTGTATGAATGGACTATAAGGTGGATAGAAAGCTGGCTAGATCCTCGAGCTCAACGGGTAGTGATCAATGGCTCCATGTCTAGTTGGCAGCCAGTATCAAGTGGAGTGCCACAAGGATCGGTCTTGGGGCTGGTTTTGTTCAATATCTTCATTAATGATCTGGAGGATGGTGTGGACTGCACTCTCAGCAAGTTTGCAGATGACATTAAACTGAGAGGAGTGGTAGATACGCTGGAGGGTAGGGATAGGATACCGAGGGACCTAGACAAATTAGAGGATTTGGCCAAAAGAAACCTGATGAGGTTCAACAAGGACAAGTTCAGAGTCCAGCACTTAGGACGGAAGAATCCCATGCACTGCTACAGACTAGGGACCAAATGGCTAGGAAGCAGTTCTGCAGAAAAGGACCTAGGGGTTACAGTGGACGAGAAGCTGGATATGAGTCAACAGTGTGCCCTTGTTGTCAGGAAGGCTAACGGCATTTTGGGCTGTAGAAGTAGGAGCATTGCCAGCAGATCGAGGGACATGATCATTCCCTTCTGTTCGGCATTGGTGAGGCCTTATCTGGAGTACTGTGTCCAGTTTTGGGCCCCACACTACAAGAAGGATGTGGAAAAATTGGAAGGAGTCCAGCAGAGAGCAACAAAAATGATTAAGGGGCTGGAGCACATGACTTATGAGGAGAAGCTGAGGGAACTGGGATTATTTAGTCTTCAGAAGAGAAGAATAAGGGGTGATTTGATAGCTGCTTTCAACTACCTGAAAGGGGGTTCCAAAGAGGATGGATCTAGACTGTTCTCAGTGGTACCAGATGACAGAGCAAAGAGTAATGGTCTCAAGTTGCAGTGGGGGAGGTTTAGGTTGGATATTAGGAAAAGTTTTTTTTCCACTAGGAGGGTGGTGAAGCACTGGAATGGGTTGCCTAGGGAGGTGGTGGAATCTCCATCCTTAGAAGTTTGTAAGGTGCAGCATGACAAAGCCCTGGCTGGGATGATTTGGTTGGGGATTGATCCTGCTTTGAGCAGGGGGTTGGAGTAGATGATCACCTGAGGTCCCTTCCAACCCTGATATTCTATGCACCACTGGACGGAGAAGACCCCAGTGGGGACAGGTCTATCAGGTTCCAGGGCTTCTCTGGGTGCTGGCTCACACCAAGGCACATCTGGGGCTCTTACTCACCTGGCCCCATCCTCACTCAGCCTGCCTCACTCCCCTGCCTGTGTCTCTGTGGCTCACACTGACTGATCTCAGTGGCGGGTGAGAACATGGCCCTTTGATCTTTCTCATAGTGGCCCAGCCGAGAGCAGGCTGGGGCTGGGCAGACCAGCCCTCAGCCCTGATAACCACAACCGTAGCGGGAGGGATTCATGCGAAGGGGATGTGGCAGGCTCTGTGACACGCTACAGCTGGGAGCTATGACTGTGCAGCAGCAGAGGGGTAATGACACAGCAGAGCCAGGAATAGAACCCAGGAGTCTTGGCTCCTAGCCCCCTGCTGTAACCACGAGACCAGATACTCCATGCAATTAATATTAGCAAGGGGGTAGGAACACAAGCCAAAATAGGGTAAGAACAGGTTAAAAAATATCTAGAGAAGTTAGATGTATTCAACTTAGCAGCGCCTGATGAAATTCCTCCTAGGGTACTTAAGGAACTAGCTGAAGCAATCTCAGAACCTTATTTTCAAGAACCTCTGGAGGGCAGGTGAGGTCCCAGAGGACTGGAGAAGAGCGAACATAGTACTTATCTTTAAAGAGGACCCAGGGAATTATAGACCAGTCAGCCTAACTTTGATACCTGTGTAAGGAGGGTCTGAATGAGCTCACCCCTGACAGCTAGCTGGGAGGGGGAGAGATTTCAGGAGCAAAGTGTATGTACATGAACACACCTACTCTGCCTAAGTATCTGGCAGACAGAAGCTGTGTTGCTCAAAGTGATCAACTTTGGCTGGTGTTGGGTTTCAAATCACTTTAGTACTGAATGCAGGGGTAGTAAAATGTTGTTATCGGTGTTGTTATCTTTATTCTATGAGGAAAGGGATCAGAACTGTACTTAGCCTGTCCTGATTGAGAGGGTCACCCTCAGCTGAAAGGAACTTGCTAAGCCAGAGGCTCAAATGCCAGACCCCTGTGAAAGTTAGAGGGGATGGGGACAGGTGCCCCTGCTAGGAGCTGTGGCTTCTGCCTAAGGGTCCCTGGTCTGATTTAACCTGTTCCTTCCCCCTCTTCAAAGATAGAGTTAAATAGGCTCCATTAGAAGTATTTTGTTTTGTTAAGTGCTCACTAGAGCTGAAATCACTTATGGTGGGACGCAACAGAGGGTCCTGTGGCACCTTTAAGACTAACAGAAGTATAGGGAGCATAAGCTTTTGTGGGTAAGAACCTCACTTCTTCAGATGCAAGTAATGGAAATCTCCA